GCCAGTCCTCCTGCTTGGGGCCTGGGGCTGGGAAAGCTAACTAGGGGCAGGAGGGGGAGCCCCAGGTTGTGGATGTCCTTGGGGGGAACCTTGAGTCAACAGTGGCCAGAGGAGCTCCCACTGTATTCAATCTTTTATAGATGAGCATAACATAAGACATAGAGGAGCCAAGCAGTATTCGTTGCCTCCTTACCTTTGGGTGTCTTCTGGTCTGGAATGTGCTGCAAGTCAGGACCCTGGCCAGCTCCCAAACCCAACTGGGCAGGCTCCAAAGCAGTGGTATCTGGTGCTTCTGCCACCTCCACATCATGGATAATGGAGCAACAGGATGGTTCAGCTCACCACACTCTGTGGTGGCCGTGCTTGGGGCTGGCATTGTGGAACAGCATGTTCTGGGCTCCTCTGCTTCTCACTGCTGGTGTCTCTGCCTTTTCTGGCCACTCACTCATAGATGTCAGAGTCCTAGGATGGCTTCTTAGAACCCCTACTTCAGCCCTGCCTGGTGCTGCCTTTGGTGCACATGAGATACTTAAGCATGGTACCCTTGGGGCAACTCTGTTCTTCTAAGGCAGCTTAGCCCTTCACTTTCTTCCACATCTGCAGAGCTCAGAACATGCTGCCTCTTCCCAACAAAGTCATGCTGGCACGGGCAACCCTGGCCATAGGGCTGTATTCCACTAGCAGCTCGCAGCTTACCTCACCCAACTATCTTGAGTTGACTTGTCTGTAAAAGTTGCAAACCTGCTTGGTTTATTTAGAGTGTGCCTAGGTGCAACAAGCCTGAGAACTGTGACTTTAGGAGGAGAGAGCACAGATGGAGCTCCTTCTCCTTCCACCACTGCCAAACCAACTGAAGACCAACAACTGAAGAGCACCAACTGAGGGCACTAAACAAAGGCAACCAATGAAGGCACCCTCTGAAGGCCAGCAGGTGAAGGCGGGTTGCCCTGCCAACCAGATCACATCATGGTAAAGAGGACACAATCAGGCCCAGAGTCCCCTCCATGTGTTCCTGCCAACTTGGAACTTGAGAGACCAGGCACGTGGCTCACCAGGCCCCACCCTGCCAGCCACCGCATCCCACCTTTCATTCATTCCTGGCTGCTAAGAGCTTTCAGGTTTCTCACTGTCTTGAAGTTCCTAGGGTTTATCACTTTACAATGAATTATGCTAAAATTCCTGAAGCCAAATCTGGCTGTTGCACTAGCTGGAATTCATAGAACCTCCTTTCCCCCATAACCTCTGAGTTTTTTACAAGCTACAAAAATGACAGATTTCTGCAGGTGCTTTCAGAAAAAAAATGCCATGAGCTAAGTCTACTGTGTGATGTCTAATTATGTTTCTCATATATATAAATATGCATTCAATCCATATATATTTCATTTACAATTTTGAAAATAACACACATATTCAATCAAATTAATAAGAGTAAATAGAGGACATTTTCTAAAATTTATACACTAATATATCACAGTTTCCCAATGATCACTTTGATACATCATCTTAGAATCTATGGCTTCAGAAACAAAGAGGCTTATGTAAGAGAAAAGCATTCTGTTAATACAAGATTTTAACTGTGATCAGCATTGCTACTTTCCACAGGCAGTTACTCAGTAAGAACTGCTCTGTGACTATAGTGACTCATTGAATCTTTCGTATGCTTGTTTTGATTATGTAAAAAATATGAGTAACACCAGTTTTATGAACTTGCTCTAAAAATGAAATGAGAGAAAAATAATCCTCATTCTATATAAAATGAAGAGTTACAAAATTATAGGCACTGTGTCCAGATTTTTACACACTTACCTTATTGAAGCCTTAAAACAACCCTATTCTTTAAATTACAGTCATTTTGCTCACACCAATTTTTACACGCTTATATTATGGAAACCTCATAATAATCCCATCATTTTTAGATGAGCACAGTGTGGTTCAGAGGAGTTAAAACACATTCACCATCACGTGCTAATGAGTGATGAACTGGGATTCAAATCCAGTTCTCCCTGACGCCATAGGTACTGCAACTTAACAATGACCAATTATACTGAGCACATGGAGGCAGTCAGAACATGTGGATTCCCTTTCTCTACCCTCTTATGTGTGGATTTGAATGGCTTTCATGGCCTCAGAACCATCCTAAACTCCCTCCCAAGTTGCCTTGCAGTGGTTCCTTTTCTCTTGGAAATGACTAGGAATCTGCATATTCAGACTACAAGCATCTGCTTAGAATCAGGTTTGATGATGGAGAAATGAAACTTTTTGCCAGGGATGGTGGCTCTCACCTGTACTTTGGGAAGTCAGGGCGGGCAGATGTCCTTAGGTCAGGAGTTCAAGACAAGCCTGACCAAAACAGTGAAACTCCATCTCTACTAAAAAGGACAAAATTAGCCGAGAGTCTGCCAAATGCCTCTAATTCCAGCTTCTCAGAAGGCTAAGGTAGGAGAATTGCTTGAACCCAGGAGGCAGAGGTTGCAACAACCTAAGATCACGTCATTACACTCCAGCCTGGGCAATAAGAGCAAAATTTTATCTCAAGAAAGATATAAAAATTTCTAGGACTTAGGTTACTAACTGAATTGTCTAGTTTATCTGCAATAAGAAAGGTAACATTACATGTAAAAACATCACAGAATTCACTGAATTTGTGCAGAAAGATTTGGAATGATGCTGTAGGAGGAGCAGTGGAGACACGCAAAGCAAGAGCACCTCCAAAGTCCAGGTGTGCTGGTTCTTGCCTGTCAGCTCAGAAATGTGGGAAGCCAAGGTGGGTGGATCACTTGACACCAGGAGTTTGAGACCAGCCTGGGGAACACAGTGAGACCCTGTCTCTACAAACAATTTTTTAAAAATTAGCATCAAGAAGAGTACCTTCGACCCTCAGACCTTGCTTTAAAATACAGAGCTCTAGTCCAGAAATCAAGATATTAAACTGTGACTCCCAATAGGGTTAAGTTTAATGAGAAGAAATGTCAAACATTTCCTCTGCAGCAATGAAATCTGTAGCATTCATTTTGTAGTTTGGAAACTTAGTTTCTGGCCAGTCTGGGATAAGCAGAAGAGGTCCCAGAACTCAGCATTGGGGTAGGAAGGAGGAAGGAAACCGGATGGACCCAACGAGGGACCAAGATAAGCTGGGAAGGCAAGGCAGACCCAGTCCTTTTGCTTGTGGCCTGAGCCTAAGAAAGCTAACTAGGGGAAAGAGGGAGGAGCCCCATGCTGTGGATGCCTCCAGGTGCAACCTTGGGTCAGCAATGGCCAGAGAAGCTCCTGAGGCCAAGCAGTGTCTGTCGCCTCCCTACCTTTGGGTGTCTTCTGGTTGCCGATATGCTGCAAGGCAGGATGCTCTCCGGCTCTGAAATCCGACTGTGCAGGTTCCAAAGCAGTGAGGTCTGGTGTACTGCCAACTCCATGTGGTAGATCTCAGAGTGTCAGGATGTCTCTTCCCACTCTACCCTGAGCTGGCCCCACTTGGGGCTGGCATTGGGGTACAGCGTGTTCTGGGCACCTCTGCTCCTCTCTGCTGGGGCTTGGCTTTTTGTTAGCTACTAGCTGAGATGTCAGAGCCTAGATTGGCTCTGATGAACCCCTGCGCCAGCGATGCCTCGGGCTGTCTTTGGTGCATGTGGCCAGCGTGATGCACAAGGGGCAGCTCAGCACATCTCAGGCTGCTTGAGCCTTCACTGGCACCCACATCTGCAGAGCTCAGCACCTGTTACCTCTTCCCAGCATAGAGAAGGCTGGCACATTTAGCACCAGGCCATGGAACTGCATGTCACTAGTGGACCCCACCCTGCCTCACCCACTAACCCTGAGCTGACTTTTCTGCAACAGCTACCACCCTGCCTGGTTTATTCAGAATGGGTCTGAGAGCTGTGACTGTGGAAGGAGGGAACATCGACGGAGCTCCTTCCGTGGTTGCACAACACCTCAAGGCCACCAACTGAAGACCACCAGCTGAGGGTGCCAAGCCAAGGCAACCAATGAGGGCACCCAGTGAAGGCCACCAGGTGAAGGCCAGTTGCCCTGCCATCCAGACTGCATCCTGGTTTAGAGGAAACAATCAGGCCCAGAGTCCCCTGCATGCCTCTCCCTAAACTTGGAACTTGAGAGCACAGGCACAAGGCTCCAAGGCCCTGCCCTGCCGTTGGCCCCGCCCCACCTTTCATTCATTGCTGGCTGCTGGGACCTTTCAGGTTTCTCACTGTGCTGAGGTTCCTAGGGATCATCACCTTACAATGAATGATGCTACAATTACTGAAATCAAATCTGCCTCATGCACAGTCTTGGATTCATAGAACCCCCTTTCCCTCATAACCTCTGAGCTTCATAGAAACTAGAAAAATGACAGATTTCTGCATGTGCTTTCAGAAAAAAACATTGCCATGACTTAAGTCTACCCTATAATGTAAAGTTTTAAACATATACTTATACACAAATGTATTCAATACATATATGTTCAATTTACCTTTTTTGAAAATTAACAAGACTAATAGAAGAAATTTTCTAAAATTTATATGCTAAGCTTCATCACAATTTTCTATCGATCACTTTCATAGAGCAACTTAAACTTCATGGTTTCAACAAAGAAAGAGGCTTATGTAAGAGAAAACTACCACATAATACAGTATTTTAAATGTGATCCTCATTGCTGCTAAAAAATAACAATTACCCAGTATGTATAGTGAACTGCTTTGTGACTATGGTGACTTATTCAATCTGATTCTTAATTTGATTAACTGCAAAATATAACAACAATTTTATAAACTTCCTCTAATAATTAAATGAGAGAAAAATAACTGTCCTTCTGCATATATTGGACACTTACAAATTTATAGGCATTGTGTCCAGATTTTTATGCACTTACCTTACAGAAGCCACATAACAACCCATGGTCTAAATTATATTCATATGACAAGATTTTACACACTTACCTTATGAAAGCCCCAGAACAACCTCATGTTGTAATTACATGCATTATGGCCAGATTTTTCCACGAATACCTTATGGAAGTCAGATAACACTCCCATCCGTTATAGATGAGCAAACTGAGGCTCACTGGAGTTAGAAACACATTCCCTACCATGTCATAATGAGTGACTGAGTTGGGATTCCAATTTCATTCTTCCTGACACCAAAGTTGTGCAACATAACAAAGATGAATTGTGCCCAGCAGATGGAGGAGTCACAGCACGTGGGTTCCCTTTCTCTACCCATTTTTGTGTGAATTTCCTTGTTTTTTTACTGCCTCAGAACAATCCTAAACTCCCTCCCAGGTTGCCTTTCAGTGGTCCCCTTCTTCTGGAGGACGATTACTAAGCTGCATATTTAGACCACATATTTAGCTCCTTATAAACAGACTTTGATTAAGAAAAGAGATTTTCTAGGCCAAGAGATGTGTTGATCAAGAAATGAAATTTTCTAGGCCCTAGGTTACTAACTGTGAATTGTCTAGCTTTTCTATCAAACACAGGGCTATTCCATGTAAAAAAGTCACCAGGATCCACTGAATTTGTAAAAAGATTTAGAACGATGCTGCAGGAGCATCTTCCTGACAGCTGTGCAGGAAGACCAGCCGAAACACAGAAAGCAAGAGCACCTCCAAAGGCCAGGTGTGGTGGTTCTTGCCTGTCACCCTAGCAATGTGGGAGACCAAGGTGGGCGGTTCACTTGAGGCCAGGAGTTTGAGAGTAGCCTGGGCAATACAATGAGACTATGTCTCTACAGAAAATCACATTATAAGATTAGAATCAAGAACAGTGCCTCTAACATTGCTTTATGATAAAGGAGCATGGTCTGGAATTCAAGATATGAAATTGTAAGTCTCACAGTTGCTACTTAAGTTTAACTAGAAAAGCTGTCAGACCTTTACTCTATCCAAAGATTTTTGGAGCTTACATTTTAAATTGACAACTTAGTATTGAGGCAGCCTGGGGCAAGATGAAGAGGAAACTGAACTGGGTGTTGGGATAGGAAGAAAGAAGAATGAGTAGGTACTTGAGGCAGAGCCAGTCCTCCTGCTTGGGGCCTGGGGTTAGGAAAGCTAACTAGGGACAGGAGGGTGAGCTCTAGGCTGTGGATGTCTGTGGGGGGAACCTTGAGTCAGCAATGGCCTGAGGAGCTCCCACTGTATCCAATTTTTTATAGATCACCATAAGATAACGTACAGATGAGCCAAGCAGTATTCGTTGCCTCCCTACCTTTGGTTGTCTTCTGGTCACCAACGTGCTGCAAGTCAGGACCCTGGCCAGCTCCCAAAGCAGTCGGGTCAGGAGCTCCCGCCACATCCACCTCGTAGATCTTGGAGCATCAGAATGGTTCTGCTCACCACACTGTGAGCTGGCCCTGCCTGGGGCTGGCAATGTGGGACAGCATGTTCTGGGCACCTCTGCTCCTCTTTTTTGGTGTCTCTGCCTTTTCTGGCCACTCATTTATAGATGTCAGAGTCCCAGGATGGCTTCACAGAACCCCTATTTCAGCCTTGCCTGGTGCTGCCTTTGGTCCACATGAGGTACTTCAGGGTGGTCCCCTTGGGGCAACTCTGTTCTCAGGCAGCTTGGGCCTTCACTTGTTTCTATGTCTGCAGAGCTCTGAACATGCTGCCTCTTCCCAGCAAAGTCACACTGGCACAGGCAACCCTGGCCATAGGGCTGCATTCCACTAGCAGCTTGCACCTTACTTCACCCACCTACCTTGAATTGACTCGTCTGTAAAAGAAGCGAGCCTGCCTGGTTTATTTAGAGTGTGTCTAGGTGCAACAAGCCTGAGAACTGTGACTGTAGGAGGAAAGAGAACAGATGGAGCTCCTTCTCCTTCCACCACTGCCAAACCAACTGAAGACCAACAGCTGAAGAGCACCAACTCAGGGCACTAAACAAAGAAAACCAATGAAGGCACCCTCTGAAGGCCACCAGAATTCCCTACATGCCTCCCCCTAAACTTGGAACTTGAGAGCACAGGCAGGTGGCTCCAAGGCCTCGCCCTGCCAGTGGCCCCGCCCTGTCAGTGGCCCCGCCTCACCTTTTATTCACTGCTGGCTGCTGGGAACTTTCAAGTTTCTCACTGTGATAAAGTTGCTAGGCATCATCACCTTACAATGAATGATGTTAAAATTACTGAAACCAAATCTGCCTCATGCATTATCTGGGATTCATAGAACCCCTCCTCATCCCATAATGTCTAAGATTTTTACAAGCTAGAAAAAAGACAGATTTCTGAAGGTGCCATCTCATAAGCCTACTCTATAATTAATCAAATCATATTTCATATACATATATATTCGATCCACATGTATTTGATTTACATTTTTAAAAATAACACACATATTCAAACAAGAATAAGAAATTTAAAAAATTTTACACATTATGTACATCCCAATTTCTAATGATCACTTTGATAGAGCAACTTAGAATCGATGGTTTCAGAAAACCAAGAGGCTTATGTAAGAGAAAAGCACCACATAATACAGAACATTCAATGTGAACATCCTTGTTACTTTTAACTAGAAATTACCCATTAAATGTATTGTGAACTGCTTTGTAACTATGATGATCTATTTAGTCTTTCTGATCCTTGGTTTGATTATCTCAAAAATATGAGTATCATCAATTTTATAAACTTGCTCTAAAAATTAAATGAGAGAAAAATAATCCTCCTTCTTTGCATATTGAACACTTAGAAAATTATAGGCATTGTGTCCAGATTTTTACACACTTACCTTATAGAAGCTTCATAACAACTCTCAGCACACTGAGGGTCAGATGAGTTAAAAACACATTTACCACCACATCTCAATGAGTGATGGAACTGGAATTCATATCAAGTTCTCTCGGACACCAAAAATGGTGCATTTAATGAGAAACATGTTATACCCAGAACATGGAGGGTACAAAATATGTGGATTCTATTTTCTACCCATTCTTTTGTGAATTTCACTGGCTTTCACTGCCTCAGAACAATCCTAAACTGTCTCCCAGCTTGTCTTGCAGTGGTTCAATTTTCTTGGGATGATTAGGAATCTGCATATTTGGACAAGCATCACCTTTTGACAGGTGTATTGATCAAGAAATGAAATTTTCTAGGCAATAGGTTACTAACTGAATTGTCTAGCTTCTCTGCAATAAAGGAAGGTGCTAGTCCATGTAAAAAAATCACAGTATCCACTGAATTCATGCAGAAAGATTTGGAACTATGCTGTGGAAACATATTATTGACAGCTGCACAGGAAGTCCAGCTGAAACACACAAAGAGCCCACTTGGTCTTTCCTGGGCCCAGTATAGGTCAAATTCTCTTTTGTGGTCATTAGAACTCTGTTTTGTACAGCATCTATCTGAATTTATAATTGTCACTTTTTTTTTGTCTTTGTTTCTTCATTGTACTTGACGCTAAACAAGAGCAGAGGTCTTGTCCGTTTTATCTGCAGGGCTTGGTTTAATGTCTTCCACATTGTAGGCCCTCAGTATATATTTGGTTAGTGAATGTTCTAGTGTAAAGTTCGTTATATGTGAAAGGTACTCGTATATTTATTTCTGTCTTGTTTTCTCTCTGTTACAGATTCTGTTACCCTATTGAAAATCCAGGATGCAGCTCTTTCTTGTGAAAGATTATTAGAACTTAAAAAAAATCACTGTGAACTACTTACAGTAAAAATTAAAAAAATGGAAGATAAGGTTAATGTACTACAGAAGGAGCTGTCTGAAACAAAAGAAATAAAATCACAGTTAGAGCATCAAAAAGTTGAATGGGAACGAGAACTGTGCTCTTTAAGGTACAATAGCCTAGTTTTGAAGAAATGTGTATTTACTTTGTACTAAAGATATATAGGAATTTTCTTGTAATTGCTCACTTACCTTCTGGGGCTTAGCAGGGAAGAAGACTTCTTAGTCTTGTGAAGTGTGAAATTTTTGAAAATAATATAACTAGTTCTTAACTATGTACTTCTACTAAATATATATTCTTTTAAATCATTTTAATGTATGTATGTAGTCTACCATATGGAAATCTCATTTATTTAATAGAATGAGTTTTGGGTTGAAAGTTTTTTGTATTATAGTTAATGGTGGAAGGAATACTTTTTTATAAATATTTTTCTATATTTCTAGTTATTTACTTTGAATAAATTCTTCAATATAGAATTATTTGTTTAAAGTATAGGAATTTTTTTTAAAAAGGCCTTTGATCCAAATGTTTAAATTGTTCTCAAGAAAGTTTGTGTTAATTTACATTTCAATCAATAGAGAATGAAATGGCCATTTTTTTCAACCCACAATACTAAGAAAATTTTTATACATTCGTCTACACCAATAACAGACTTAAAGAAAGCCAAATCAAGAGCGAACTGCCATTCGCAATTGCTACAAAAAGAATAAAATACCTAGGAATACAACTCACAAGGAACGTAAGAGACCTCTTCAAGGAAAACTACAAACCACTGCTCAACGAAATCAGAGAGGATACAAACAGATGGAGAAACATTCCATGTTCATGGTTAGGAAGAATTAATATCGTGAAAATGGCTATACTGCCCAAAGTAATTTACAGAATCAACGCTATCCCCATCAAGCTACCATTGACTTTCTTCACAGAACTGGAAAAAACCACCATGAACTTCATATGGAACCAAAAGAGAGCCCGCATAGCCAAGTCAATTCTAAGCAAAAAGAACACAGCGGGGGGCATCACACTACCGGATTTCAAACTATACTACAAGGCTACAGTAATCAAAACAGCATGGTACTGGTACCAAAACAGAGATATAGACCAATGGAACAAAACAGAGGCACCGGAGGCAACACAACATACATACAACTATACAATCTTTGATAAACCTGACAAAAACAAGCAATGGGGCAAGGATTCCATGTTTAACAAATGGTGTTGGGAAAACTGGCTAGCCATGCGCAGAAAGCAGAAACTGGACCCCTTCCTGACACCTTACACTAAAATTAACTCCAGATGGATTAAAGACTTAAACATAAGACCTGGCACCATAAAAACCCTAGAAGAAAATCTAGGCAAAACTATCCAGGACATAGGAGTAGGCAAGGACTTCATGAACAAAACACCGAAAGCATTGTCAACAAAAGCCAAAATAGACAAATGGGACCTAATGAAACTCCACAGCTTCTGCACGGCAAAAGAAACAGTCACTAGAGTGGATCGGCAACCAACAGAATGGGATAAAATTTTTGCAGTTTACCCATCTGACAAAGGGCTGATATCCAGAATTTACAAAGAACTCAAACAGATTTACAGGAAAAAAACAAACAAGCCCATTCAAAAGTGGGCAAAGGATATGAACAGATACTTTATGAAAGAAGACATATATGAGGCCAACAATCATATGAAAAAATGCTCATCGTCACTGATCATCAGAGAGATGCAAATCAAAACCACATTGAGATACCATCTCACGCCAGTTAGAATGGCGATCATTAAAAAATCTGGAGACAACAGATGCTGGAGAGGATGTGGAGAAAAAGGAACACTTTTACACTGTTGGTGGGAGTGTAAATTAGTTCAACCATTGTGGAAGACGGTGTGGCGATTCCTCAAGGCCTTAGAAATAGAAATTCCATTTGACCCAGCAATCCCATTACTGGGTATATATCCAAAAGACTATAAATCGTTCTACTATAAGGACACATGTACACGAATGTTCATTGCAGCACTGTTTACAATAGCAAAGACCTGGAATCAACCCAAATGCCCATTGATAATAGACTGGATTGGAAAAATGTGGCACATATACACCATGGAATATTATGCAGCAATCAGAAATGATGAGTTTGTGTCGTTTGTAGGGACATGGATGAATCTGGAGAACATCATCCTCAGCAAACTGACACAAGAACAGAAAATGAAACACCGCATATTCTCACTCATAGGTGGGTGATGAAAAATGAGAACACATGGACACATAAAGGGGAGTACTAAACACTGGGGTCTATTGGGGGGAAAAGGGGAGGGCCAGTGGGAGGGGGAGGTGGGGAGGGATAGCCTGGGGAGAAAAGCCAAATGTGGGTGAAGGGGAGAAGAAAAGAAAGCACACTGCCATGTGTGTACCTACGCAACTGTCTTGCATGCTCTGATCATGTACCCCAAAACCTATAATCCAATAAAAAATTAAAAAAAAAAAAAAGATGCATGAATTAAAAAATAGAATGGTAAGTGACTACAAAAGTGATCTCTCTCTCATACATAGATAAAGCTAATTCAAAGTTCTGTGTTGAAACCACATATTATTCTTTATGGTTTACTTAAATATTAGATTCTGTTTTGTTCTAAACAAAATTTAAAAATTGTTTATGCAATATGTAATAATCAAGAAGATAAGTTGAAAGTGTTACCAGAAAAAGAAACATAGAAAATATGGGGTAACCAATATTAGGCTCCATAGCCCAATCTTTAATTATACTAATCTGTAGATATATGTTGTAAGAAAGACATCTGAGGGTGTTTTCTTAACTATAATAATTTTTAGGGACACTTGTAATATTTCATAAAAACAAAAATTTATTTTTATTGAATGGATAAATACTTTAATAACCAATAACTTCTTTTTAGTTAACTGTAAATTATCTTTCCTAATTGAGGAGTAATTATGACTGTTTTAAGAAAGGATAATTTGCTTTTTTTTTTTTTGAGACAGACTCTCACTCTGTCGCCCAGGCTGGAGTGCAGTGGTGCGATCTTGGCTCACTAAAACCTCTGCCTCCTGGGCTCAAGTGATTCTCCTGCCTCAGCCTCCTGAGTAGCTGGGATTAGGGCACCTGCCACCACATCAGCTAATGTTTTGTATTTTTAGCAGAGATGTGGTTTCACCATATTGGCCAGGCTGGTCTGGAACTCCTGACCTCAAGTGGTCGGCCCACCTCTGCCTCCCAAAGTGCTGGGATTACAGACATGAACCACTGGCACCTGGCCAAAAAGATAATTTTGATCTTGTATCTTTACTGAATAATTTCCAGTATCCTTTTCCATAATATTTACCAGAGGTACTTGTAACAGAAACTTACCAGTTAGCAGAATGTCTCTTCATCACTTCCTTTCAAGTATATATGTTCTTTGGAAAAGACTGAAGTGAGAAATTAAAAACCTGAGAACCAGAAAGGAAAAGTATTCAATAACACACAAATTTTATTAGGATAATAAACCAACATATGAAGTGGCAGATCACACATGAACTTTTTATTTTCTAACAAAACAAATTTTAAGATAAGCATATTTAACTGCAGATTTAGCCTAAACCAAGAAGAAGAGAAGAGAAGAAATGCTGATATGTTGTATGAAAAAATTAGGGAACAGTTAAGAGGGAAAGAAGAGCAATATAGGAAAGAAGTTGAAGTGAAACAGCAACTTGAACTGACTCTCCAAACACTGGAGATGGAATTAAGAACTGTAAAAAGTAATTTGAATCAGGTAAATTAATTTTTGGTAAAAATTTTATATTCTTAACTTTATTTCATCAGTATTTACTCATAACATCCTTTTGATTTAAAATATATTATGTAGGTTTAAAACAAAAATATTATCTCATCTTAAACTGAACTATTACATTTATAACTAAAATTATTCATGATAAATCTTGGCACATAATAGACGCTCAGTCTTTTTTCTGAATGAAGGAATGGAGGGTACTTTGAGTTTAATCACTAAAATAAATGTTAATTTAGGCATTTTATGTTAAAATGAAGGCTAAATACCTCTAAAATGATGAAACTAGTAAAATGTTTTGTGAAGACATTTTATTTCACACTTCTATATTTGTCTGCATTTAAGAACTGTTTTTGCTCTTTGATGAATTTAGCTGTCATTTTGCGATTACAATTTGAGTAATTCTTGAGTAATAAAGGTTCTTGTGTTTTAATATGCTCTTTCTTTTTTATAAGTTTTTTTTAAAATTCTGCTCATGATTAACCTTTTAGACTTTAAAAAAATGCTAATAGACCCAAAACTTAACGTATCTCTAGGTTGTACAAGAGCGAAATGACACTCAGAGGCAACTTTCTCGAGAACAGAATGCCAGAGTGTTACAAGATGGAATTCTGACCAATCACCTTTCCAAACAAAAGGAGATTGAAATGACTCAAAAGAAAATGAATTCTGAGGTATTTCTTGTAGTCATTTTCAAATATGTGTGTATATGTATTTGTATGTGTATATATTTTAAAAACCAGCTGTCTGCAGCAGTCAAGTAATGACATTCAGAATGGCCTCATCCAAAGGAGAAGCTTTTAATAGTATCTTCCATAGGAATTGATGGTCTTTCCACAATCTCAAAACCTTTGCTACTGACAATAGATTCTCAAGTTTTTGGAAGCGATTTCATCACCTTGTTATACTAATGGAGAGGTTAGTTTATTACTTCTACCCATAGGAAGAGAGGAAAAGTACAGCTAGTTCAGGGACCATATTGTGGCTGTTATTCTTCTCACTTTTGAGAAGAGTAATAGTTTGCTGCAAGTAGTATCTTATTTCAGTAAAAAGAGCTTTTGAAACAGTGATATGCCATCGTATATACTTAGTGATAATTTAGTGATACCTATTTTGTTCCTAGTAAAACAGTTGAGCTATTTCTACCTGTTTCACACTATTACGGTTTCAAACAATAGGAAGGGGAAACGAAAGTTATTGCAACAACAAATAGTCTCATATTTCTAAGAGGAGCTCTACAAATTTTGTCTTATTTACCATTAGTGTTCTGAAATAAAAGGCTTCTTTTGTATTTAAATATTTATATCACAGAAGTAATTGTGATTTAGCAGAACACCACTGCAAATAGAGTCAGTGGACCTGGGGAAAGTCATACAGTTTGCTTATATTTTCTTAACCTTTCCTTTTCAGAATTGTGATACTAAATGAGTTCATCGATATATGTAGAAGTGCTTAGTACAGTGCCTAGATTTATTATTCATCAATAAATGTAATTGTTATAACTGACTATAAAGATGTTAGAAAAGTAGAATATCTCTAGAATATTCTCAGAAAAAAGGAACTTAAAGGACTTTTGGAAATTTGATCTGTCTAAATATATGCAGAGCCAGGGCTCTTACTATGGGGTGGTGTATGGGTTAGATAGCAGAGTATAAACCCAATTTTTAAATGTAGTCAAATTATTAATCTTTTATGCTTTTGAATTTGTTGTAATTCAGGGAAAGGCCTTTCCAATTCTGAGATTCTTAAAAATTCTCTAATGGTTTCTCTTTTACTTTCATGAATTAATTATCTTCAAACAAATTTTTGAACTTTTGGGAGTTTATGCTCTGTAAGGTTTGAGTTTTGATCCAACTTTTTTTTTCAATTGGATATATACTTATTGTAACCCCCTTATTGTAAAATGTACAGGTGATTCTTTAATGTCAAGGAAATCGTGATATGTCATTTTCTTGGGTGCTAGCTAAAAGTTTCCTTTGTTTTACTAGAATTCTCATAGTCATGAAGAAGAAAAAGGCCTATTGCATAAAAATAGTGTGTTGCAGGAAGAAATTGCTATGCTAAGACTAGAAATAGACACAATAAAAAATCAAAACCAGGAAAAAGAAAAGAAATGTTTTGAGGACATTGAAATTGCGAAAGAAAAGAATGAAGACCTTCAGAAGACTATAAAACAGAATGAGGAAACATTAACACAAACAATATCCCAGTATAATGGATGACTTAATGTTCTGACAGCAGAGAATGCGATGCTAAAGTCTAAACTGGAGAATGAAAAGCAAAGCAAGGACAGACTGGAAACAGAAGTTGAATCATACCGTGCTCGACTGGCTGCTGCTATACATGATCGTGATCAAAGTGAGACATCAAAAAGAGACCTAGAACTTGCTTTCCAGAGAGCAAGAGATGAGTGGTCTCGTTTACAAGACAGAATGCATTTTGATGTGTCTAACCTAAAAGATAACAATGAGATTCTTTCTCAACAACTTTCTAAAACGGAAAGTAAACTCAATAGCCTAGAAATTGAGCTCCATCACGTGAGAAATGCCCTCAGAGAAAAGACTTTGGGTTTAGAACGGGTACAAACAGACCTAAGCCAAACACAGTGTCAACTGAAGGAAATGGAACAAAAGTTATCAAAATGAACAAGTTAAAGTGAATAAATACATTGGAAAGCAGGAGTCTGTAGAGGAGAGATTGTCTCAACTACAAAGTGAGAATACGTTGCTTCGACAACAACTGGACGATGACCACAACAAGGCTGACAAAGAGAAGACAGTGATTAATATCCAAGAGCAGTTTCATGCTATTGTACAAAAGCTGCAAGCTGAGAGCGAAAAGCAAAGTCTTCTGCTAGAAGAAAGAAATAAGGAGTTAATCAGTGAATGTAATCACCTAAAAGAAAGACAGTGTCAATATGAAAATGAAAAGGCAGAAAGAGAAGTAAGTATCAAGACAGATAAATATTTTTCAAACCTCCTGAAAGAAAATTTAAAATAATATTTTGGGCCGGGCACAGTGGCTTATGCCTGTAATCCCAGCACTTTGGGAGGTTGAGGTGGGTGGATCAAGAGGTCAGGAGTTCAAGACCAGCCTGGCCAAGATGGTGAAACCCCATATCTATTAAAAATACAAAAATTAGCCGGGCATGGTGGCAGGCACCTATAATCCCAACTACTCGGGAGGCTGAGGCAGGAGAATTACTTGATCCTAGGCTGCAGAGGTCGCAGTAAGCTGAGATCATGCCACTGCACTCCAGCTTGGGCAATAGAGTGAGACTCCGTTTAAAAAAAAATTGTTTCTGGCTAAAGGTTGGATGTAGTTAAATATAAAAATAAATAGATGATAAGTTTATCCGTTTAGAAACATCTCTTGTTTTCAGCAAATAAAAGAGCTGAGAGATGCTTTACTATATCATCTATGAAACTTTGAATTTTAAGTTATGAATTGTTAGTAGAGACTAGTATGAATAGTAAACTAATGTGAATAATGTATTCTTTTACTGCTGAAGTAGTAACTTTAATGTCTTTATGTTGCTACGTCTTAAGAACATTTTCCATTTTTCTGCCACCATGAAGCGGATAAATGGAAATGCTCGTACCTGAAATGAGTATTTTGAAATTAAGATTCAATTAAGTGTGTTATTTTGACAGTTAATAGATTTCCTAGATAAACTGAAGTATATTGGTGTATCTCTTAATACTTTTCTGTCAGTAGCTTTTTATATATTTCAGTTGATGTGATTTTATTTTTATTCTTGTCAATTTGACAAGTCTAAAAATATTTCAGCCTCAAATTACATATTGTTATGATCTGTCAATTCTTTAAAGCATGTACTTTTTATTAAACCATAATTTAGGGAAAATGTGGTGAATTTTAGCAACCACATTTGATTTAATCTCCCCACTGGTATTTATGATTTACTTTGAATATATTACGAGCAAATAACTTGCTCATAATTTTCATTTCAAGGCTCAATAACTATCATTTGGGTGTAACTTTGTTCAGTACAAAGGTAAGTATAGTGATTTGTGATTTACTAGTTTTGTATTGGATCACCATTTTCAGTGTGTAGGGTATCACCAGTGGAGTGAGTAAGGGGAGAGTCATAGCAGCTGAGGTCAGGGAGGCAGGTGGAGGTCAGGTTACCTAGGGCCTCTAAGGCCATTGGAATTTACCTGTATTCTGAGATAGGAATCTGTTGGAAGAATTTGGGCAAGCAATTGAATATGTGAGGAGCTCTGAAGTTGATTTGAGTTTCTAATAAAAAAGAGAGAAAATGTTGCATAGGGTACAGTTAATCGCTACCAGTTTCATTCATTTAATTATTTCGAGACTTGAGGAGGTTGTTAAGCATTGTGAATTCATCAGGGGATGAATGAATAGTGAGCTGAATCTGTTGTTTAAGTAACATCAGACCTATTTGGCAGGAAGATAACACTTTCTGTGTCCTTAACTGAATTCAGTAATAAACAGGAATGTGTAAATATGAGAACAAGAAGGTGAATCAGTGTATATGGCAGTATTTTTTAAGTTATATATATCATAGTTAAATATTATTAACATTATTTATTTATTTATTTTTTTTTAAATTTTTTATTGGATTTTAGGTTTTGGGGTACATGAGCAGAGCATGTAAGACAGTTGCGTAGGAACACACATGGCAGTGTGCTTTTCTTTTTTTTTTATTTTTTTTTATTTTTTATTGGATTTTAGGTTTTGGGGTACATGAGCAGAGCATGCAAGACAGTTGCGTAGGTACACACATGGCAGTGTGCTTTTCTTTCCTTCTCCCCTTCACCCACATTTGGCTTTTCTCCCCAGGCTATCCCTCCCCACCTCCCCCTCCCACGGGCCCTCCCCTTTTCCCCCCAATAGACCCCAGTGTTTAGTACTCCCCTCTCTGTGTCCATGTGTTCTCATTTTTCATCTCCCACCTATGAGTGAGAATATGCGGTGTTTCATTTTCTGTTCTTGTGTCAGTTTGCTGAGGATGACGTTCTCCAGATTCATCCCTGTCCCTACAAACGACACAAATTCATCATTTCTGATTGCTGCATAATATTCCATGGTGTATATGTGCCACATTTTTCCAATCCAGTCTATTATCAATGGGCATTTGGGTTGATTCCAGGTCTTTGCTATTGTAAACAGTGCTGCAATGAACATTCGTGTACATGTGTCCTTATAGTAGAACGATTTATAGTCTTTTGGATATATACCTAGTAATGGGATTGCTGGGTCAAATGGAATTTCTATTTCTAAGGCCTTAAGGAATCGCCACACCGTCTTCCACAATGGTTGAACTAATTTACACTCCCACCAACAGTGTAAAAGTGTTCCTTTTTCTCCACATCCTCTCCAGCATCTGTTGTCTCCAGATTTTTTAATGATCGCCATTCTAACTGGCGTGAGATGGTATCTCAATGTGGTTTTGATTTGCATCTCTCTGATGACCAGTGATGATGAGCATTTTTTCATATGATTGTTGGCCTCATATATGTCTTCTTTCATAAAGTGTCTGTTCATATCCTTTGCCCACTTTTGAATGGGCTTGTTTGTTTTTTTCCTGTAAATCCGTTTGAGTTCTTTGTAAATTCTGGATATCAGCCCTTTGTCAGATGGGTAAACTGCAAAGATTTTTTCCCATTCTGTTGGTTGCCGATCCACTCTAGTGACTGTTTCTTTTGCCGTGCAGAAGCTGTGGAGTTTCATTAGGTCCCATTTGTCTATTTTGGCTTTTGTTGCCAATGCTTTTGGTGTTTTGTTCATGAAGTCCTTGCCTACTCCTATGTCCTGGATGGTTTTGCCTAGATTTCCTTCTAGGGTTTTTATGGTGCCAGGTCTTATGTTTAAGTCTTTAATCCATCTGGAGTTAATTTTAGTGTAAGGTGTCAGGAAGGGGTCCAGTTTCTGCTTTCTGCGCATGGCTAGCCAGTTTTCCCAACACCATTTGTTAAACATGGAATCCTTTCCCCCTTGCTTGTTTTGTCAGGTTTATCAAAGATTGTATAGTTGTAGATATGTTGTGTTGCCTCCGGTGCCTCTGTTTTGTTCCATTGGTCTATATCTCTGTTTTGGTACCAGTACCATGCTGTTTTGATTACTGTAGCCTTGTAGTATAGTTTGAAATCCGGTAGTGTGATGCCCCCCGCTGTGTTCTTTTTGCTTAGAATTGACTTGGCTATGCGGGCTCTCTTTTGGTTCCATATGAAGTTCATGGTGGTTTTTTCCAGAAGAAAGTCAATGGTAGCTTGATGGGGATAGCGTTGATTCTGTAAATTACTTTGGGCAGTATAGCCATTTTCACGATATTAATTCTTCCTAACCATGAACATGGAATGTTTCTCCATCTGTTTGTGTCCTCTCTGATTTTGTTGAGCAGTGGTTTGTAGTTCTCCTTGAAGAGGTCCCTTACATTCCTTGTGAGTTGTATTCCAAGGTATTTTATTCTTTTTGTAGCAATTGTGAATGGCAGTTCGTTCTTGATTTGGCTTTCTTTAAGTCTGTTATTGGTGTAGACGAATGCTTGTGATTTTTGCACATTGATTTTATATCCTGAGACTTTGCTGAAGTTGCTTATCAGTTTCAGGAGTTTTTGGGCTGAGGTGATGGGGTCTTCTAGGTATACTATCATGTCGTCTGCAAATAGAGACAATTTGGCTTCCACCTTTCCTATTTGAATACCCTTTATTTCTTTTTCTTGCCTGATTGCTCTGGCTAGAACTTCCAGAACTATATTGAATAGGAGTGGTGAAAGAGGGCATCCTTGTCTAGTGCCAGATTTCAAAGGGAATGCTTCCAGTTTTTGCCCATTCAGTATGATATTGGCTGTTGGTTTGTCATAAATAGCTTTTATTACTTTGAGATACGTTCTATTGATACCGAGTTTATTGAGGGTTTTTAGCATAAAGGGCTGTTGAATTTTGTCAAATGCCTTCTCTGCGTCAATTGAGATAATCATGTGGTTTTTGATTTTGGTTCTGTTTATGTGGTGAATTACGTTTATCTGCCTGGTGTCCCGTGTCTTTTTTATACTTGGGAGTTTCCCCGTTCTGTGGGCAACAAAGATCAGTCTGGAAATGCAGCTCCGACTGACCGTTTGCGGATTCAACGAGAGCTCCAATCCTGGGTTGTTCTCACAGCCCCATCTTGAGTCCTCCCCCTTTTATTTTTAATATAACTTAATAATAAGGTGGTTTACAAAATCAGTAACAAAAATGTCTTATCAGATTGTTGTGAGACAGCTTCAACAAGAACTGGCTGATACCCTAAAAAAACAGTCTATGTCAGAGGCTTCTCTGGAGGTTACATCACGTTATCGTATTAATTTAGAAGGTGAGACACAGGATTTAAAGAAGAAATTAGGTCAAATCAGAAATCAAGTATGTATGAAATTTAACATGTCAACAGTTAATATTTATATAAATGGCTAAATATAAAGTGTTTTATCATGCTCATTTCAGTGGATAGCCTTCTTTTGAATTTTCATTATAATTAATTTAAATTTTATTATCGTTATAATACACTTGCTTCTTTTTCTTTTTTTTTTTTTTGAGACAGAGTCTCACTCTGTTGCTGAGGCTGGAGTGCAGTGGCACGATCTCAGCTCACTGCAACCTCTGCCTCCCAGATTCCAGCAATTCTTCTGCCTCAGCCTCCCTAGTAGCTGGGCATTACAGGCATGTGCCAGTATGCCCAGCTAATTTTTGTATTTTTAATAGAGCTGGGGTTTCACCATGTTGGCTAGGCTGATCTCGAATTCCTGACCACAGGTGTTCCACCCGCTTGGGCCTCCCAAAGTGTTGGAATTACAGATGTGAGCCACCACACCCATCTTGTTTATTAAACTATGACTTTCATTCTGCCATGTTTTCTTATAATTGCACATTAAAAAAATAATATTTAGCCTTAGGAAACTTGAGAATTACACATCATTCCTCATGGAAGTTGAGGGAGTTTTTTTTACTGTTAAACAGTATGTCATAGTGATTTTGCTATTGTCATGGTGAAGCAAGCCAGATTAAGTTAGAGGATAATGTTTAATGGAATGTTCCAGATAATTGTCTTATTTCTTATTTTCACTTTTGTGAATGGATACAGAATCTGTGTCAATTTATTTTATGGTTTTCAAGTTAATTTGTACAGAAAGATCATTAACTTTTCTCCAAAATGCAGATGTTTTAGGTTAACTTACAAACTATTTGAAATTGGCATTTCCTTTATTTTCCTTTCATTTAAAATGTATTACAAAAACATAGAAATATTTAGATCATGTATTGTATGTACTTCTAAACTAGAGAATTAAGAAAAGTATCTAGATCCCACCATTGGATTTTTTAAAACAACAACATTATTGACATAATTTACATACCATACAGTTCATTCAAGGTGTACAATTCAGTGTCTCTGAGATTATTTAGAGAGTTTTGTAACCATCACCACAGTCAATTTTAGAACATTGTTATCACCCTGAAAAGAAACCCCACATCCCTTAGCCATTACCACCAACCCCATCTATGTCCCTTCACCTTGCCCAGTCCTAGACAACCATCGTCTACATTTTGTCTCCTTAAAATTGCCTGTTCTAGGCTGGATGCAGTGGCTCATGCCTGTAATCCCAGCACTTTGGGAGGTTGAGGCAGGCAGATCCTGAGGTCAGGAGTTTGAAACCAGCCTGATCAACATGGTGAAAACCATCTTTACTAAAAATACAAAAATTAGCTGGGCGTGGTAGTGCGCTCCTGTGATTCCAACTACTTAGGAAGCTGAGGCAGAATTGCTTGAACCTGGGAAGCAGAAGTTGTAGTGAGCTGAGATCATGCTGCTGCACTCCAGCCTGGGTAACGAGCAAGACTCTGTCTGAAAAAAAAATTTTGCCTGTTCTGAACATTTCATATAAATAGTCATACAATACGCAGTCTTTTATGTGTGACTTCTTTTACTTAGCATGTTTTTGGGTTTCACCTGTGTTGTAGCACATATCAGCGCTTTCTTTTTATTGTTGAATAATATTCTATTGTATGGCTATACCAGTTATCCATTCATCAGTGGATGGGCCTTTAGATTGTTTCTACTTTTTGGCTACTGTAATTAATGCTAGTATGAACATCTATTTATAAGACATATGTTTTTATTCTCCTGCCACTGGATTTTATCCTCAGGGTTAATTGGGCTGATTTCACTGTCCCTCTGCTTTACTCCTGCTGTTCTTCCTGCCTTTGCAGTTTCTGTTCATCTAGCCTCATTTGTTCAGACCTGGCGCACTGGTGCACAATTCCCCCTCCTTTGGGAAGCTTTCTCTGACTGTTCTGGCTCTCATTGACCTTACACTTTAGCATTTTTTGTCTAGTCTGTGTAGAACAATTTGTCCTTAATTTAACTTCGCTTTTATTTTTTTCATGAGAAAGAATCATGTCTAATTATAAATTTGCCTACAAGGGGAATAATGTCTGATATGCGTGTCACTTATCTTTGTATAAGTTGAAAATATTTTAGCAGTTGTTAGGATAAATTACTTTATATTATACTAAGAATTTCTGCTTTGAGGCATTGATATAATAAAGCTTTTATTCTATTTTTGTTATTTATTATTTCATTCTTTTTACAAGCCCACAGCTAACCTAGATGGTAATTCTTTATATTTTAAGTAATTAAATATAAATAGAAACTATTTCATCTAATAAAGGAGTTATTCAATCAAATGCTCATGTTTTTCTCACTATATAAAAAAAATCTAAATTTACATTTAATGTGTAGCCAGTTCTGGGATTCATAGATTGATACCACTTTATGTGGTATGAATCTTAAAATATATTTAAATAACCATCTAGGTTAGCTCTGGGCTTGTAAAAAAATAACAAAATAGAATAAAAGCTTTATTATATCAATGTCTCAAAGAAGAAATATAGCTCACTATGTGCTATGTATTCATCTAAGTACTTTACATGTGTATTCCTCGACTGAGACTTCTTACCATTCCAGTGAAGTAGATACTATTACTGTCTCTATTTTACCAATGAAGAAACTGAGACATTGAATGCTAATGTGCTCAAGGTCACCCAACTGGTAACTAGTGGAGCTGAGATTCCCACCCATCCATTCCAGCTTCTGTGTGGATACTGCCTCTCAATTTCATGAAACATCTAGTTGTCACCTAACATGTCATCATGTTAATTTTTATTATCACTGGCATAGCCATGGTCATTCACATCTATAAATATTTACAATTATAGTTGATGTGGTGGCACTTGGAATTCAAAAATATAAATGTTTACCATAAGGTAATTTCCTGTCTTTCTCCCTTTTACCAATTTTTTTTTTTTGAGACGGAGTTTCGCTCTTGTTACCCAGGCTGGAGTGCAATGGCGCAATCTTGGCTCACCGCAACCTCCGCCTCCTGGGTTCAGGCAATTCTCCTGCCTCAGCCTCCTGAGTAGCTGGGACTACAGGCACGCGCCACCTTGCCCAGCTAATTTTTTGTATTTTTAGTAGAGACGGGGTTTCACCATGTTGACTAGGATGGTCTCTATCTCTTGACCTCGTGATCCACCCGCCTCGGCCTCCCAAAGTGCTGGGATTACAGGCGTGAGTCACCGCGCCCGGCCCCCTTTTACCAATTTTGTAAGTTGAGTATTTATCTGATAAAATATAGTTTGAAAACAAGAATAATGTGTTTTAGTTCTAGAATGCAGGTTGTTAAACTTTTCTGTAAAGGGCCAGATGGTATTATTTTAGGCTTTGGGAGCCGTAAGATACCTGCTGCAACAAATCAGCTCTATAGTCACAGCACAAAGATAGCCATAAACAATATGCACATTGAAGGGGTGTGACTGCGTTCCAATAAGGTTTAGTTACAAAGACATGTGATAAGCAGATTTGCACTAGATTATTAGTAAACTTTTTTTTTTCTTTGTTTTAGTTGCAGGAAGCACAGGATCAACATGCAGAAGCTGTCAGATGTGTTGAGAAGATGCAAGATCACAAGCAAAAGTAACAATTTAAAGCAGAACACAGAATAAAGTGATTATTTATAGAGCAAATAAGCAGTGTAGTATGAGAATTGTATCAGCTATGATCATAAGTACATCTGTGTGAAGTTAAGGAATCATTTCTGCATTAAGCTATTTTGAAATGCATAATTTTTTATATTTTCCTAGAATGTTGTGCATTATCCGCAAACCACAACTAGAAAAATGATGAGTTGCCAAATGACCTACTTTTCAAATCTTTAAGAATTTATGTAATTATACTTTCAGGTGTTTTTTAAGAAATTACACAGCATTTAAAAAATTTATCTGTGAGAATAATTATTTTAAAATATATGTTTCAGGCTTGAAAAAGATAATGCCAAGTTAAAAGTTAAAATCAAAAAGCAAATGGACAGAATTGAAGAGCTTCAGAAAAACTTGTTAAATGCAGATTTGGTAAGTCAACCTCTTAATTTCTTTCATCCTGAAAAGGAATTTTATTGTTCTAGTGGTAGAATAAGTTGAGTATTACTTATTTAAAATGTTTGAGACCACAAGTGTTTCAGATTTGGAATTTTTTTGGATTTTGGAATATTTGTACCTACATAATGAGATATCTGGGAGATAGGACCCAAGTCTGAAATTTATTTATGCTTCATACGCACCTTATATTAGTAGCTTGAAGTTAATTTTATGTAATGTTTTAAAAGTACTTTTGTGCATGAAAAAGAAGACAAAGTACGTTGGTCAACATCCCAAGGGTGAGTGTGCCCACCCAAATGAGAAATTAACACTATACTCAAAGTAACACCAATAAGAGTCAACATAAAATGTACAAGACTAGCTGTCTACAAAATAAATCTGCACCAAGTAATAGTTTATGGGTGTATGGCTGAGAATATCGTTTATGAGAAGTGAACCAGAAGGAAGAGACCTCAGGAAAGAGGTCCAGTCTAGAAATCTAGATTAGGGAATCTGGGATGAAGCCTTGAGATTTAAGGAGCTCTTAGAGAATTTACAGAGAGGACAGGACTCAGCATGAGGAGTTGCTGCATTTAAAAATGAAGTGGGGTCAGAAGAGCCGAGGGGAGGGATGGTAACTTAGTAGCTGCTGCTGAGAAGCAAAGCAGATTAAGGACTAAAAAATAGGGCTTTTGGAATTTTAAAATGAGAATTTTAAGATTGAAAATTAGATTTTAATATAAAAGAAGACAAGTGATGGAAAAAATGGATCTCTAGATGAGACCATGTATTAAAAAATATTAGAGTCTGGCTAGCACAGTGGTTGACACCTGTAATCCCAGTGCTTTAGGAGGCTGAAGCAGGAGCATCGCTTCAGACCAGGAGTTCAAGACCAGCCGGGGCAACATACATAGCAAGACTGTGTCTCTAAAAAAATATAAAATAGATGAGCTTGACCAACTATAGGCCATTGTAAGTGTTCTGAGCATGTTTAAGGCAGGCTAGGCTAAGCTATCCGGTTCAGTAGGTTAGGTGGATTAAATGCATTTTTTATATATGGCATTTTCAGTTTATGATGGATTTATCAGGAAGAAACCCCATAGGAAGTTGAGGAGCATTTGTATTTATTAGGCAGTAGGTGCTGAATAAATCACCATCATTAACAATAGGAATAGCTCCTTTTTCCTATCCTCCTTCCAGGTACCAGACACTGTTTATTTAAAATATATGTATGAACTCATTTAATCTTCATAACACACCTGTAAGGTACCATCTAACACACAGCCTATTTTATAATAAAGTGTTAGAAAGCTTGGTAATTTATTGAAGTGTGCTGAAAGTGGAAAACAATGATTGTATGAGTACTCCCAAGTACAGTTTCTACTGATGATGTATCATTTCTGCACCACCAAAATTAAAATATTGGAGGTGAACCGTCAAAAAAAAATATATATGTGTGTGTGTGTGTGTGTGTGTGTGTGTAAAAATAAATTAGCTGGTGTGATGGTGCATGCTGTTATCCTAGCTACTCAGGAGGCTGAGGTGGGAGGATCACTCCCCTGGAGTTTGCAACATTGTACTCCAGCTTGGTCCACAGAGTTAGACCCTGTCACAAACAAACACAAACAAACAAGAGAGTCCAGTGGAAAAACAGGATGATTAAAAAAGCCACAAGAATCAGAAAAGTTACGTTTTTGTTTATTGTGGAGAAGTATTTAAAGAGAAATGGTTAATAAAAAGGAAAAATTGAAATTCATGGAAGAATGTTTATAGAGAATAAGAAATAGCTCATCATAAAGTCGGGCGAGTATCAAAAATGTAACAGGAACCAGATTAAGGTTTTCTAAAAATTGTCTTACTATGATTTGATTTAACAAAACCTGGAATAGCTTGAACTATTGATGACAGTGTTTCTAGAGCAACTTTAGAAATAAGAATGTACATCTAAAATAACTTTGTTAAAAAAGAATTTTCATTAATTTTATTATTTTATGTGTAAACACTTATATTTTTAACAAATAAATTTTGGTAATTTAAATTCCAGAAAAGAAATGTAAAGTGTTTTAAGAAAAGTCATTTTTGAAATCTGTTCTAGTTGGCATCGATTTGTAAACTCCGTTTTTTAAACTTGCCTAAACATATGTTACTTATGAACTTATGAGAAATAATAGTTTTAAGAAGAGTGTTTCCAGAGTTTTAAAATAATTGAAATTTTTTGTTTCAAAGTCTTTGGATGAAAAGGAACAATTAAAGAAACTTATGGAATTAAAACAGTCTCTGGAATGTAATTTGGATCAAGAAAGAAAAAAAATGTTGAATTAGAGAGATAACTAGGTAAGATTTTAATATTTCAGATCAATTTTAACCATTTGCTAATTGATTTAACTACAATTTTACTTATTTCAAACCTAGATAAAAATTCATTTAATATCTTCTTTTTCTTTTTCTTCTTTTTGTTATTTATTTATTTATTTTTTGAGATGGAGTCTTTCTTGCTCTGTTGCCCAGGCTGAAGTGCAGTGGCACAATCTTGGCTCGCTGCAACCTCTGCCTCCCGGGTTCAAGCAATTCTCCGGCCTCCGCCTCTTGAGTAGCTAGGATTACAGGTGCTCGCCACCACGCCCAGCTAATTTTTATATTTTTAGTAGAGACGGGGTTTCATCATGTTGGTCAGGCTGGTCTCGAACTCCTGACCTTGTGATCTGCCCTCCTCAGCCTCCCAGAGTGCTGGAATTACAGGCATGAGCCACTGTGCCCAGCCAACATCAGTTTTTTCTTAATGAAACAAGTTGTAGCACAATCTGAAACTTTTTGAATGCCTAAATATTACACTTATTCTTTTATGATTTTGAAAACAGTGACAATGCCTTTGCCATATGATGTCAACTTTACTCTTCATCTTTTACTTTGAATTTTTATTTCTGAAGATACTTTCACTCTCTATGGTAATCTTTCTGTCTTTGGTAGTGTCCTTCCTTTCAAAGAAGATATTCAATTTTTTAATATCTAAAAACCTATCTGTCATTCTTTGGAAGCATCAAAAATTATCTTGATTTAGCTTCTGCTTTCTTTCTTTCTCTTTTTCTATAGTTATAGAATATATCATGGAAATTTACTCATTTCCCATGGATATCTCCCTTGTATACCTGAGATATATGTGTTATTAAACTTCTGTTTGTTTTAAAACATATATGCCTCATACATATACAAATATATGTATGATTTAAGAGTAAAATGAGCAATCGTGTTTCTACTATCCAGATTTAAAAACGGAACGTTACCCATTGCCTTGGAAGCCCTCAACATGGCTGCTTTCTATTTATTTGCTGAGTACCTATGTTTGTTCTGATTGTAATCACTATTTTTCTCTTACTGCCTTTCTCTAACATGGTTTGCATCCCTTTTACTTTGTTAACATTCTGCTAGCAAAGATTCTAGAGCTCTTCTGAAAGCAGCCTTTGAGTCTTTATACGTGCTCTGTCTGCTCATTTCCTTCCTTCTAAAACTCTCCCTGTTTCCTGTTCCCCTTTACCTCAGACATCAAAGATGTTTTCTTTCCTGTCTCTTTTCTACTTGAATGATCTTGATATTTTTTGTGTGTACTTTATTTTTGTACTTTCTTCTTACAGACAGTGCTCAGTGGATATCAACCATTCGTGTATAAGTGTGTATATGCTTTTCTGCCTCCCCTCCCCTCCCCTCCTTTCCTTTCTCCTCTTTTCTTTCTCCTCTTTCCTTTCTCTTTTGAGAGGGAGTCTCTGTTGCTCAGGCTGTCAGTGCAGTGCATAGTCCTCCACCTCCTGGGGTCAAGCAATTCTTCCTGCCTCAGCCTCCCGGGTAGCTGGAATTACAGACATGTACCACCATGCCTGGCTGGTTTTCATATTTTCAGTAGAGACAGGGTTTCACCATGTTGGCCAGGCTCGTCTTGAACTCTGAGCTCAAGTGATCCACCTGGCTCAGCCTCCCAAAGTACTGGGATTACAGGCATGAACCACTGAGCCTGGCTTAGGCATGCTTTTCCTCTTCAACTTGGACACTGATCTCTGAGTTTTAGCTAGTATTAATAATAGGTTAGTGGTTTCATATTACCATACTAAAATGGATAGGTAATAATTTATGAAAACTCCATGTGATTACAGTATTAACTCTTTATCTGCCGTATATGTCATACAGTTTTTCTTCACGTTATTTACCTCAGATTGTAATTTCATTAGAGTGTTTTCAATCTATGTCAGATTGAAATAAATGAGAGGATCATGATTTACATTTGTTTCTCTCATGTGCTGAAACATAGTATCTGTTTAAATAATTAGTAAATGTTTGCCTTTTAAAAAGCTGACTTAGTCATTTTGTACCTCCCTGCAGATTTAAGAACCTCTTAAAATGACAAGAAAGAAGTTAAATGAATGTGAAATGGAGAGTTTAGTTTTCCATGGAGATTTAAAAACTAGTCCATTTGAAATGGATATTCAGATTAATAAGCTAAAACATAAGGTAATTTTTAATAAGTTTTGGGACCCAAAAAGAATGACTTAATTTTGGGAAATATACACCTCTCAGTGCTTTGAACAGCAAAATAAAGATTTTTTTTTTAAACTTTTTTAGGGACTTGATACTAATAAAAAGAGCTTTTTTTAAAATTAAACTTTTAAGTTCAGGGGTGGATGGGCAGGTTTGTTCTATAGTTAAACTTGTGACATGGGAGGTTTGTCGTACAGATTATTTTGTCACCCGGGTATTAAGCATAGTGCCTATTAGTTATTTTTCCTGATTCTTCTCCCTTCTCTCACCCTCCATCCTCTAGTAGGCCCAGTGAGTGTTGTTCCCCTCCATGTGTCCATGTGTTCTCATCATTTAGCTCCCACTTAGTAGTGAGAACTTGAAGTATTTGGTTTCTGTTCCTGTGTTAGGTTACTAAGGATAATGGCTCCTGGCTCTGGACATAGGAATAGGCAAAGGTTTCATGGCCAAGACACCGAAGCAATTGTAACAAAAGCAAAAATTGACAAGTGGAATCTAATTAAATCAAAGAGTTTCTACAGCGCAAAAAGAAGTATAGATAGAGTAAACAG